TTCATTGTTTTTTTTTTTTTTTACACTGTGAGAGCAGGGAATAAAAAGACAAAAAAAAAAATTACACGCACAGTGATATATATATTTTATGCTAATAAACGGCTGCCGACGAGGCATTTATAATCATCGAATAGCCATTAGAGGAAGATATACATACATGTGCGTGTGTGTGCTCACATATAGAAACGTATACGGTCCACTCGGGGCAGTGGGGCGCGCATAAATATAAATATTATAATGTACTATATCGAGAGCCGTATGGATTTCACCCCCTTTTTTTTTTTTGACGCAACTCGAATTAATAAAAATACCGCGACCTTTTGACGTCTGGGGAGGGACGGTTTGCATTGGCATTGTGTCGCGAATCGTTTGTGCCACAACCCTAGCCGCAGTGCACAGCTACAGCTATATGTTTTGTTCTACTTGTTTGCTTTTGTTTTCTTCCAATACCGTGTTAACAATAGATTAACATCAATACGGATATAGGCGGGCAATTGATTTATCATCTACAAAAAAATAAGTAACAATTTTTACTTCAAGTCAAAATACGAGCATGGGAAGAATTAATTCATCAAAAAATAATGCTTTTAAACTTTGAGATAATTCTACTGCCTCATTTATATTATTTTGCTTTTAGTAGAAAACTGAACTAGACTGAACTCAGTCAGGTTGTATAGCAAAATATATTCAACTATTAAAGGCTTATAAAAAAAGGAGTATATATATATATTAACTACATAATAGTCTGTTCAAGACGTCCACTTGTCTAGTGTCAAAAATTCAATAATCAGGGGCAACAGCTCAAAACAGCTTCTTAAGTTGTCACTGGGTACTGCGTTGCTTAAGTGTCCAATGCCTTGACCTTATATGTATACTATTTTGTGAAGTTACATATTTAGTGCTTTGTTTTTCAAACACCGTGTAATCATTTTGTTTGAAAAATTATTCTCGCGTGAGGTTAGATCATAGATGTCCTGTGCAAAGTATGCGGATTTTAATTTATGTATGTATGTCTATGTTTTTGAAATGATGTTATTATAACAGAATAATATGTGTGTGTAAAAAAAAGATGTTATGATGTCGTAGTACATATTATATTGAATTATAATCGGAGACGGTGCTTTTGTGTATAATGTTAGGGTTGTCGATTTCAATGCAATATGTAATTTTCTATTGTGTATAATTGTTCGTATGTAAAATAACCGGATTGGGTTTTTTTGTGTTGTTGTTACTAATAAGGGCGGGGCGCTTTTGACCTTTTCATTCGGTCCCGACTGCTGATGGTGTATCCTTTGTTCCTGATATCCTCAACTGTAATTCTATAAGCCAAACAAGCAAAAGTAAAACATAATTATGTCATTGTCTATACTTATCTTTATAATAATGTCCGAGACGTACAAGTGTGTTCTAGATTAAATGTAATAGCAAACCATACACAACTTTTGTATGACTTTAAAAAGTAAACATTAAGTAAGGCAGGAACACAATGCAAATGGTCTGCACTGTAAGTTATACTAAATTGTCCTACATAGTATGTACAAAAATTCTACTTTAACAAAAATAGTTTTCTATATTTTAACAAATAGGTTATTAATAATATATTTATTATTTATGGAAGTTAAGGCTCTGGGATGTGATATATCACCCTTCGTAGGCTGTAAATACCTACGCTACCACTTGGATATACCTACAGCTTGAAATTTTTATCATCTGCGTTGTACAATATAATATGGCAATATATAGAATAGCAAACTTAACGCAGAAAAATTCGACAGAAAAACTCGGTATAAAAATACGGATAATCCAAAAACGCAGAAGGTAAGAAAAAAAATCTATCGCTTTTATTTTATTTTATTGGCGGGCGCAGTTTTGCGGCAAAAACTTTTCGGATCTCTGTCCCTCTCCGTTGGGGTCGTAAGCCGGTGCAAGAACCGTTTGCTCCGGTAATAAAATCATAAAGGATAAAAAAGAAATACAGAGAGAGGTACACCGCGCCGCGTGTGTGGGCTCTGTGTATAAATCGTTTTTATTTTATCCTCGGATTTTGCGGTAACACGTGCGATGCGATGCGGCAACGTCTTACGTCATCAAAAAACAAAAGTCGAAGAAAAGCCCAATGGGGAAAGGAGAAGAAAGCAGGTGCACAGATATTGGACGGTCACGACGATTTGTGCGCGACCCTATGGTTTATCCCGAGGGTTGGGGGGACAATAGAAGGAATAGGGGATGACGGTACAGGGCTTGTTTGTAACATATTGTCTGCGACTCTCCCCTTCCCCACCCCCACGGCTACACACGGATATACTCGGTAACAACCGTGAAAACGGCACGTCGTATAAACATAACGGGGGAGGCAGAGACGATATATATAAAAACAATATGTTGCACCGACTACACTTTTGACTGCTTTTTGGGGGCTCTTTTTCTCTTATACATGTATGTATATACAGGTCTATTAGGCGGTTTGTTTTTATAGCTTTACGCTTATATATCCTGTGTTCAATGTATTTGTGTGTACGGCATGGTGCGATCTCCCGGAGCAAAACGATATGCCTGCTCGGCCTTATAAATTTGTTTTTATTATTATTACGATGATGATAAGCGATGGCTGTAGCAGCGCGCTAGTATATAGTCGGCAAGAATAACCGTAATCGTTTTGCTTGACAAACGGAACAATCATATGAAGTCATCCACCGACGGATATATTCGTAAAAGCTAAATGCTAATACATATATACCCCAAGGTGATGCAAGATTATTGTATAAAGAAATGAGATTATTTTCCCCTTCCATAGAAGGGGCGAAAAAAAAACCATTGATACCATCCACCGAACGCGGTTTATTGCTTTATTAAAAAACGTGATATAGGTACCTAGAATAAAACAACAAAAGTCATAACTAGAAAGGCACATAATAGAAACAACCTTATACAATCGTTTAATAATTAAGAAATAAAATATCTCAATCTAAATTATTATCATATTCTACTCTTTTGTATAATATTCTACCTTGGTGACAATGCTGGAAAAACATAATAGTATTTCACTCAACGGCTTCTAAATATTGCATTACCGCAAAACTCCTCAATCAAATCACGCAGAGTTTACTAATTTCACAACTATATTGGCTCAATGTTCCAATTTTACAACGGCGTCCAAACGGAACACAAGAGAAAAGATTCTCTTGTGGAGTAAAACATTTTATTCGTACTAATTTTTAAAAAGCATAATCTATTATTATTTCAATTTCAGGACAAATATTGAGTTGAGGTTCAAATGTTCAATGTAGAGTTGTTTTCAATGTAGTTTTTTAAAAGGTTTGGAAATATGCTTCAGAAGACTTATTTTTTAATGACTAAAAACCAATAAAGTATATAGTGTCAATAAAGTATCCATTAACACTGAACAGTGTGGTTAGTAGATACGAATATATTATAGCCTTAATAAAAAATTTAAACATATTTTACGCTAGAAAGTAACAGATTTTCAAAAACCAAAATCATGTATTTACCAAGGGAGTAATAATATTTTTTATTCTTGCTATTTTTCATTTTTGTTCGAATAAATATACAAAACGGCGCAATAACAAAACATTTTGTTTTTGCCATATTAAAGTTGTTGAATAACAATATTATTCAATAACGTTAATTTTCCAGCGTAATTTTAATGAACACGCGACATTGCATGATTTTATTTTAAAACTCAATCTCAGGGAAGTGGAGGAACTTATCTCTTCCTCAAATCCTCTACACTACGGCCTACGTAACGCGACCTAATTTACCCTATTTATCGCACATTTAGGTACCGAGTACTGCGACTAGTTTAATTTCAATTGTTCTCGTTTGTCGCATTTTACAGGCAACAGTGACAATCTTAGTGTTTTAGCAATTCGGTATTACCAAAGGCATCGCGAAAGAAAATCAGAGTACCCAACGGAACATTTATTAGAGGTTTAAACGGTTCGTAAACATGTCGTTTGTTTTTGACTTTTTCGTGTGATCTTTGGACGAATAGAAAATTATGTACCGTGTCAGTGACAACATCTGGCGTCAATATTGATTTTTAATACGCCGAACCGATAACGCGAACCTAACTCTTGACTCTTGAGGCCAACAAGAACGATAACAACGCAAAGAACAAAGTAATAACGACTCGTGTTCGAGTGTTTGTCGTGTACAGGGTGGTTTCATAAACGCGTGGTACTCGACTATTACTCTAAACGGAGCATCGATTATCTAAGTTTTTGAGCGCTATAAATACAAAACAATTAACTCGGCTAAAATTCGTTTGCATCTATATTTCGGTCGTCCGTTCGGATTCAATCTGTGTACTTAAGATCAAAATAAACGCTTGATTTTCTATTAGTGTCTATGGTCGACGTCGGTTTTATATATAACTTTTAGGCGTTTCCTTGGACAAAGGGAGTAGGCGGAGTTACATAATATTCATCTGCGAACGCTCGTCCGCGCATCACCTACTCTTTGTGCCCAAACATCTAAACGCTCATATAAACTGTAACAATAATCTACGATTAAAATTATTAGTCGAGACTTTTTTCAACAGAGTTGATGTTTTCAAAAAAAAAACCGTGTCTATGTATAAATTATAAGTGTCAAATACAAAAAAAACCCATATAGTCAAATGATTTTTGTAACGTCGAGGAATTGGCGAATTAACTATTTCAAAATAATATTATGCAAAAAATGAATGTATTATTAAAAGAAAAACAAGAAGTTCCTTAACGAGTCAGTTGAATCACCCGGTATTCCGGTATTAAGCAATTTTAGTATGCGGGTGTGTGTGTGTGTGTGTTTTGTGTATGTATGTATGTGTGTGTGTGTGTGTCTGTGATTTACCGTTGCGAAATGCGAGTCGAGTCTTAGTCGAAAGTGGGATACGATAAAATATAGGTACGCGATACGTGTATATTTATTTATGTGTAATTTACATATTTTGTTGATGTTTTGTTGATCATGTTTTTGTTTTATTTTTGTTTTCCAAGGTGCATGTACCGGAGCTGCGGCAGTTGCGGCGATCGAATGGCGGCCGGCGAACTGGTAATGCGCGCCGGCGAGTGCGTTTTCCACGAACAGTGTTTCGTTTGCGTGGTTTGCGGCATTAGATTGTGCACGGGCGATCAGTACGTTATCAAGCACTCGCAGTTGTTTTGCAGGCCCGACTACGAGAAAGAAGTGAACATGATGCGCGACGAGATCAACCGGAACACAGGTCAGTAAAAACACGCCGAACGCGCAATGTCTGACAATCGTTATTGTGTTACCTTATCTCCGCCGTCGTCTGACACATCCTCTACTCCTCCTCGGATGTTGAGGAATAACTAGTTCTGGCCGTATAGTCGTCTACAGTAGAGATCCAGTGCGTGTGTGTGTGTGTGAGTGAGAGAGAAAGAGAGATCCAAATCCGTCGGCATTACGGACATCAGACATATTGGTAAAAAGTTGAAATTAAAAAAGTCAACAAGGTAGTAAGCAGCGGAGTGCGCGGTAAGGCAAGGTTAGGTTGTGGCCTGAATAATATCGATGGCGTAGCGCACACGTGTTTTATACCATTTCTTTTCTTTTTTTTTCGAGAAAGAAATTTAGAAATTATTATATAAATATGTACAGCAATAAATACCAGAAACCCTACTATTACGGGCGCCCGCAAACAATTTATCAGAGAGGGGCATAATGAAATTATGTTTTTTATGGCTTACATTTTTAATAACCTCTACAGTGTATCATATTAGAAAACTTTTTTTTTCTTTGTCAATTTTAAATTTAAAAATGTATACTAAAATAAAAAATATCAATGAAATGTTCTTTTATTTTTTTTTATTAAAGAATATTTACAATCTATGCTGCAAGGCATAATAAGCAAATAGTTACATTGTTATATATATATACAGAGAGAGGAAAAAAAATAAACAAATAAAAACGGTGATTTGGTATGAGGAGGGAGGCTATCCGCAGTGATAGAACCCAACGTGATTAATGTTTATTTAAATAATAATAAAAGTTGAAATTTTTTCAATTATATTTGAAGTCTAGGGGGAGGGGCAAATTCCCCGTCTAGCCCCCCCCCCTTCCAGGCGCCCATGATGCCCATGATGTAGGACACAAGAACTTGTAACCGGCTATTGTATGCTTTTACTGGCTATTTTGTACATTATTATCTGTTGTACTATCTATAATCAATGGTTATACTAAACGAAGGTGTATGATTGATACACGTGATAAATACAATTGAATCAATTCTCGGTGGTTTCAGGGGATTGGAATTATAGCCACGACGGACGACGAGGACCCAAACGACCTAGGACCATACTGACCACACAACAGCGTAGAGCGTTCAAAGCGTCATTCGAGCTGAGCCCTAAACCATGCAGGAAAGTTAGGGAAGGTCTGGCGCACGACACAGGATTGAGCGTTCGCATAGTTCAGGTAAACTATGTATATGTCTACCATAAGTATAAGATAAATACACAATGGCAGTGACAAAAAAAAAAAGGTACCAAACAATTATTACAAAACTTGCATAAGTTATATGGTATATGTATATACAATCAGAATAAGTGATTCTTAATTTTTTAAACGACCAAAACAATATCACACAACTTTGATCCAGTGGGCCAAAATATTGTAAAAATTGGCCAAAATGATGTATTAGTTTGAATTGATTACTTGTGTTATCCACCTATATAATAGGTCCTATGAAGTATAAATACATATCCATTACGCTAATATCGTATGTGTATGATAACTATAGTTTATCGCGTTTTTGATACCAGTAAAAATGATTTTATAATGTTTATATTTTTAGTCTGAGCAGCTCTCGTAATTAATATTGTCATAATTTATTTTAAACTTACTAGGTAATTAAAAATATTGAAAATTTGTTTGCCTATAATTTTTCTATTTACATTTTATACCTTTTTAAATAATTATGACAACTGGTCGCGATTTGTTTTATTTATGCAAACAGTTGAAGGTAATTCAAGAACGATAATTCAAATAATTATTATTTTTTAAGAAAATAATTCAAGGGGCGAAAATTAATAAAAATGTACTAATTGTTTAAACTGTATTATATAATAATTAACGATATCATTATAAGTGTATAAAACATACAAATACTTTCAAAGCTAATTTAAGCGTCAATAGTTTTTGCCATAAAAGTAAGCTCATTGCATGAGGATATAAACAAATAATTAAGACGTCAAACAGAGATCATAGATAATACATTTGTTTTGTTTTTTTACAAAACAAAACAATACATGTCGATTCGGCGGCTCATAAGAACCCATGTATTTTTATTTAAAGCTTCCCTTTCTGGTTATTCTGCGAGGGTAACCCTTAAAATGTGTATACTAACTGTGTTCTGAGTTAGTAAAGGTTACATATTAGGTCGGGACCATCACAACAAGAAGTCGTTTATGACAGTGAATCAATAGCTATCAGCTTGCGATGAGTTTTTAATTATCATTTTTCGGATTATAATATTCTTAATCAACACAAAATCAAGTATTAACGTGTGATGATCTATTTACACAATATGTTATACTGTTTATTATTTAATGTTCATCTGTTTGTTTATGAATACTACTATCTGAATTCCAAATTAGGGTGCAATGCATTTAATCTTTATATACAAATAAAGGAGTCATGAATCTGGTGGAAAACAATCTACACAGTAAACACGTGTTATGCTTTATTAGCTTCGTTAGCGTAGCTGAGAAGGTATTGTTTTTACAAAGATGTGTTTTAATTTTAATTTTATTATTCTGTGTCTGGACCCACGGTATTTTCTTAACTGCAGAACCCGTTTCCTCGTGTAGCAACTCTATGAATTAGAAAATAGTACCTGAAAGAGAAACAAATCTAGCTTATCGTGCACCCTTTTTTTCGGTTTTTTTTTTGTTAATCGATAGTACTTTTAATGCTGATTGCGAATCTGCAAGTGTTTTGCGCTGCTCGCACTTATTTTGGAAGTTACAGACGTTTAAAGTTATACTGATAACGAGCGGGCGTGCTCTACACAATAACACGGTCACAGCCAACCCGACTATCTGCTCCGCCCATCGTGGTCCTTTTTTATTTTTTTGCTGTACACGTGAAATACTGATAATGCTTGACTGCACACTTCCGCACATTTTTATAGACATCAATTCAGAATGATACTATTAATTAATAACTAATAAGTATTGACACTCAAGTACCAGTTTTAGGTTTTTATTTTTTTTTTTTTCACCGAGTATAATTGTAAACTGATTCGCAATCCCAAAAAATAATATTTTTTTACCTCTTTTACACAAAAACTAGCATCGCACGATTCATTTTGAAAAAGTAACAGGTAAGTGGTTATTGCCACAATGTAAATGCCGCGGCACAGACTTCTTTCTGAGTACTTCAGTCTGTGTGCAGTGTGCACAAGCTTTATCAGTATTTCACGTGTAGTCGGGGCGGCTGTAACCGTGTTATATATATATATATATATATATATATATATATATATATATACAAGTTACAAATTTCTTAAAAATCTGTAGTCAAACTTTTTTTTTTATTAAGGGAAAAATTACATTTAGACTGTAGACAATCATTAGGTTACTAATGAATTAACGGTCAGCAAATATCCGACAAATATTTGCATTATGTTGTTATTTATGAGGTAAGGGTAGCAACAGAAACAAATTGTTATTGACGATCAACCCTAATACTAAAAGTGCAATTTTTAATATAGTATTGACAAGGATTTTTTATCTATCTTCAGATACGCAAGTGATTTTATCATTTTGAGCTTAAATAATTCTTATAGACTTATGACCTGTCCCCACTATAATCCAACCTCATTGTACTGGCTTTTTACTTTAAAAACTACTACAAATAATTTGAAAACTGAATACAAAACTCAAGTTACTTTTATTCCTAAGAGGTCGAGTTTACAAATAAGTGATTAATATACAGATTTCTTGATAAATAGTAAAATATAAAGTTCATATTTGTTTTAAAATATGATAAAAAAACCCACCGTTGAAAGTTCATGTAGAAAAGGTCAAATTGACCACTACTTGCTAATTTCGTCGACATGTTATTCGATGGTTTTTTTTTTCATCAAATATTCACGCTGTTCTACGAAAAGACAAACAAGTTTGTGAAATTTGCATTAGCTGAATTTTGCTTCATGAAAATGTCTATATTTAGAGATAATACGTGTTTAACATACCTATTGAAATTGAGTTAGCAAAATCGACATTTGTTATTTACTTTTTATTAGTTTTATATTACAGGCTCTACAGTTACTCACTACAGACATTTTTTTTTTAAATATACTCATGAAAACCAACTCGACATATTTTAAATTTTAGCTTTTCTCGTTATTCATATGGCACTGTGCGTGTACATGGAATGTTGAGTAGGTAGCTGAAATGTCGATTTTACATTTCATAAGCGTTTTGTAAATGTTTCTCCACGTAGAAGCATCCGTGTTGAAATTTGCACTCGGCGGCTACCTAAATTAATATCGCTTTTAACTTTTACAACAAAATTATTTGGGAAACAACGTGCACTCTGTAATATATATTTTCTAAAACACGACCACGTTGAGCAATCAATTTAACGCATTCGACATGCTCAAAAGTAATTTATATTGTCAACTGATAATTCAGAATATACATTTATATATTGTATATTAATTATTTTCCATACTTAATATGTAAGTATAATTTAAACACCATTGATTCCGTTCTTTTTAACAAAAAATGTTTACTGTAAAATATAATCAAAAGGTCTTTAGTGGCGAAAAAAAATAGTGTGCATTATATATTATTTAAATCTCACAAACTCACAGAGGCCTTGCAAAAAAAATTGCCCTTAGCTTTGCCTTCCTCTAAGGCCAGCTGTGATCATCAACGCTATCAATAGACTCAGAGCAGTTATGCTCCCATTGTATAAATGTGTTAATTATATACGATTCTTGAAAATGAAACCTATTAATAAACTTGCTTTGCATTCGATTTCATGAATAACATTAGTATTGGATATGTGTAATTGCATTAAACTTACAAGTTCTATAATTATTTTACAGAACATTATATTGATTACCTATATATATATATATATATATATTTTTTTTTTATACATGAACACAATTAATAAACAATTGATAGATCAACGATTTACCTTGTAGAGTATAAGTTGGTAATTTCATTAAAAACAAATTGATAAACTTATGGGGCCTTGACGAACATATTATTGTTTAACGTGAGATAGCGCGTTACAATACTACAGCATCATTTTGATAGAGCATAGTCTCGTGTTATACAAAAACAATCAATTACTGTGTCGTTTCTAGGTTTGGTTTCAAAATCAAAGGGCAAAAATGAAAAAGATACAAAAAAAGGCAAAACTAAACAACAACAACAACAACGTTTCAAATACTATTAACAGCGGTGTTAACGGCAACAACAACAACAACAATTGTAGTGGAGCTGATAGTGGTAACTCGTGCAGTTCCAGTGGATTACTCCATTCGACCATCAAAGACGAACAGTGCAGTTCAGTATAAATTATACATTACGTTTCACCAGTGTAATTTTAGTTTTTAAGCAGGATTTTCTTCACACACAAGTATTTTCATAATAATAATAATATTGCTCGATACTCAACAGTATCGATTCTCAAATTCTCAACAGAGAATTTTTCAAAATGATCTCCACTCAAAGCATTGAACGAGTGGAGTGTTGTTTTATTTTTTATTTTTTCCTTGGGGTCACGCCGTCGCGACTTAAAGGGTCACAGTTGCCAAGACAACCAAGACGCTCCACCCCATATCGTTTTGCACGAAGAAACCTCCTCTTCTCCCATCTAATCCCGTTTTTCAAATAACTCTCTCTCTCTCTCTCTCGCTTTCTTTATTTTATTGCTCCCAAACCGTGTATCGTCGAACGGCAAATACACATAAAAGACGTATTATGTGTGGTTGCTCCTCCTAACCTCAAAGAATACTATTCGCCATTTTTATTACCTAACCGAAAGCTTTATTTATCGAAATACAATCGAACCAACCCATTGAACAATATTAAAAAGATATACAGATACGACATTTTTAAACATGTAAGTGAAAAAATCAATATACGTATAATGTATAGGTGTGTATTGAGCAGTGTGTAGTGGTTATTAACACAAAGAAGAGAAAACTTAACTGCCGGAAAAATGAAAAACCTATACCTGAATATGGACTGTTGATCAAATTCAGTGTATTTTCCAATTGAATAAAGTCTAACAAATTTCCCACGAAAAAATTATTATTTTGATACAAGTTTATGATGTTTAACGCTTAAGTAAATTATTATCGTATACACCATTCAATATTGAATTGGTACTCATCTAGCTACAATCAAATACGATATCCTTAACATATTAAATTCAGGCTGTATACATTACGATACACCTAAAATATACTTATGTTTTTAATAATAATATTTATAAATAATAATATATATGATAACATTATGTACTTTAGTATAATTTTAGTTCAATAATACAAAAATACACGTTTTAACATTTTTTGTTTTTTTTTATCTCCAGGTTCGGATGGATTCGAAGATGGTGTAGCCGGTCGATTTGAAGCCCTACATCACGAAACTCACAGACAGCAACAAATACACGAGTCTTACAACACTAGGCAACATTCCCCGAGTATAGTGCAACCAATCCCCTTAACGCCCTACGTTCATCAACAACCGCCTTTTGGTATTTTCAACAATGGTAAGTTAATAATATTACTATATTGTTACAGGACCAGTTTAATCAATTCTTAGGTAAAATACAAAATAAACAAAAAAATCTATTTTTCATTCAAATTGTATCTTTCAATGCAACTCTATTGTAATTGCAATGCACATAGGTATCCATAATTATTAATTATGCAGCTTATAATATAATATAATTATAGTACCTACAAGAGAGGACTACTGAAAAAATTACCGAGGGTTAAAATATTTGTATATATTTTTACTAAGTATTTTAGTACTCTAAAAGAGGACCGAAACCGTCGACGGAGATGTGAAGAAAAAGTTAAGGTCCGTTCTTTTGCCTCACTCTTTCCTCGGAATTTGAGCTTTCATTTTTTATAGGACAGACGATTCGGCCGTCAAATACCAAGAATTTTGTTTTATGGTTTCTCGCACAATGCGAACAAATACTTTTGTTAGCGAGCTTTGTAGGTATACAATATGAATTTAGCTGTATAGTATGACCAACAAGCTACATGACTGACTCGATTCCTCCATAATGCCGAATGCGTATATCCCGCATTGTTCTGACAAATAGTCTTCATACAATGTACTTGTAGATTTTTCAAAATAATGCGAAATACTTTCTGTATAATATTATGTTGTTATATCCACAAAAACTGTACCAAAAAATAATTTATCTAGTCACTTGTGTTTAGCATATTCACTTTATTTTTCCTCCTAATATCAAGTTGTTTATGCAGTGATAGATTTTTTCATTGTACATTCTTCGATTTTTTAATTATTTTTCGCATATTGCACGTAGAGTAATCGTACACAATATGTATAGCAAATATTTCAAATAAAATATTTATCTTACTGAAACAAACATCAGTTTACTAACACTGTTCAAAACTACTAAAACTAGAAAAAACTTAAGCACTTATGGTTTTATGTAATAAAATAATTATTTTATTACTAAAACTACCATAATAATTATAAAATAGCTCGCAACTCTTCTAATTGGCTTAAAACATTTTAATAATCGTTATCTTAATTTAACTTCGAAAAACATGAAGATATATTTTTTTAATGTTTTTATCTTAATACAGCGATAATGGCAGATACGCCATAGACACTATCTATTTTATTATTTTTATACACATTTTTAAAATTTTATACGGTTGAATTACGTTTATATATTTTACTTAGTTAATGATTAATCGTTTTATTTATTTAGTATAATAAATTTGTATTGAATAAATAACGTACATATAATTGGTATAATTTCTTGTGGGCAGTTAAAAAATTAAAAACTTACCTAATACCTTTTTCTATTGAATTTTTGACCTTAACTAGCTCTTTAGTGTTAGCATAAAGTTACAAACAAGGTGCACATTTATGGAGACAACGTTTTTAATCAACCATTTATACACCTTTAACTTTAAAATTAAGTTAGTGAATTTACAACGTGAACTTACTAAATTAAAAGTCTCATACATAGCTAACAGGTTATGCTGTTTTCTTTCTAAGTGATCTAAGCCAAAAAAAAAAAAACTTTTCGGATGAAAAATCTTCAATACGATTTCATAACTATCGATTGCGAATTCGGCAATTATTAATTATGCTCGTGTTGTGTTTATGTGATCCAAAGTTTTGTGTATTTTGCAGTCTGAGGGAATGCAAGATAAAAATCGAGACTAATATATTGTACACGAATGTTGGCAGACTAAAGCGTTTTCGCGCATTGTGTAAAAGTCGACGAAAACAATAATTATAGTCGGTTAAACAGCCTGACGTTTTAAGAAGAATGAACGGAAGCGGTCAACGCGCTCACCCCACTAATCGTCGTCCTCGTCGGTTTTGTTCCTATTATTTTTAAACTTTACTTATACACACATACACATATATATTATATGTATAAAAGAACTTTTGCGAGAAGTAAAGTACGGCAGGGTGGGTTCGGTATAAAAAAAAAAAGGAAGAATTTTCTTCTTTTCTCGCCGAGATCTTTGCCCATCCCCTTTCTCTTCTCCGCTCACCGCGTTATTTGTAATGGCTCCCTTGTACACACACACACACACACTGCACGCCTATATATATATATATATTATATATATATATATATATATATATATTCTAAGCCCTCGGTTCGCCCACACCCGTTTCGAGACGCGACCGGAGAATTTAATATTAAATCCGCGCCCGCTGTGATCGAAGGGTGCACCGAGGGATAATACCCGGGTTCGCCGTCACCACATCGCCCCCCGCGCTAGCCCCCGCGGGTTTTATAGCTGTCAAAGGGATTTGTCCCTCGGAGGCGCCGAAGGGGAGGTCGAGGGGAAGGCATGGGATGCGCCTAAGGCCCCCGCGACTGTATATATATATATATATATATATTAATATACACTGGTACGAGGCCAATAAAGACGGCGACGGCGGGTGACACGCGTACGTCCGCGCTGCCTCCGAGAGAAGAAAATAATAAACGCGCGCCTATATTAACGTCTACGGGGGCTTCCTGCGGCGTGACCTCTACACTGTACAAAACACCTCTTCCTCCATCAATACCCGCCGTGTATAGTATTTATATATCAGTACATCTCAAGTATGTCCCAAAAACGGCGTTCGTAACGGCATAATTCCATGTGCCTATGATAATTACCCATAGATGCAATTGGAAGTGTACGAGGGGGGAAACTAGGTATATAGACCGGCCTAACTTAACCTATAGTGATATGCATGTTACACACTATACTAGAATCGGATTGAAACTGTTTTAAGCTAAATAAATGATTAATTCAAATGTAAGCTAAATTAATGATTATAAATTGAAACAATTGTTTAGAACATCCTAATAAAAATGACGATATTATTAATTTCTCAATCGTCAAGTCTAGATGTTCAGTAAATTTTTCACAGCTGAAATTTGAAACTAAAGTAATTTCTATTAAATATTCATTGAATTTATTCATAATTTCAATTTTAAAAATGTTTTTTGTTTAAATATAAGTATGATTTTGTAATAACTTTATTTCGAAAAGCGTTATAACCACCAAACTCCTCTTTCTCATTTAGCTACGCCACTGCTGTATACACACTGCACACTATATTACAATATATTTTATTAAAAATTGCTTACATATGGATAATTACATTTCCAAAAAATAATAATAATAATAATTAAGAACAAATTTGCATAAATTTACCCAAAAACAACTCAAATAACAATAAATATTCACAATTAAATTAGAAAAATGATTTTCGAATGCAATGCATAACAAATGCAGATCTAAAACAGTCTGTCATTGAATACTTTGGTTTTTAATTTGTTCCAGGTTTAGATAATCGACGAGAACCTAATTATTTAGTACCGTCGGACATGGCGCCAAAACATATTTATGGCGGATTCCTGTCTCAAGAGACCGTAATCCGATGTGGTTCGAATCCAATTGACCGGCTATACTCAATGCAAGCGTCATATTTCTGCAACAATATTCCGGATGATCCCAACTCGTTGTCTTTAGATAATCATTAATGTATAACAGTTATTTTTACCATCACTATATTATACTTCTTTACTATTATTATACATTATTACGATTGAGTATAAATTGAAACTGACGGTTTAGACCATAAAAACTTGTAAAATTGTTTTTATCAAATTAAACAAAAGGTTATACGTTATAAGTCAAATATTAACAAATTTATTTTTATTGAACTAAGAATTAAAAACTAGATCAATACTAAAGCTAAGTGAACAACTTGCAAATCTGCATGACGTCAAAATACAGTTTACCAAGCAAACAAACAAAATTGTATGTCCAAATTTTACACAATCACCATAGTAAACAATAGTACAGGTATTTTATGCAAATGTGGGAAAATCTACACATTTTTAATCGTACATAAGAGAATACATCTCTGTTTTTTTAAATTAAAAAAATGTCTTTAATATGACGTCAACTTTGAATTATTAGTTATATAAGTTCTGTTCATACTGGATTTTTGTTACCTACCGCAGGTTTGATAAAAAGAACATTGGAGTTTAAGGTTGCTCGGTTTCAACATATTTGTTAATGTGTAAAAAGGGACCTTTTCTGTTAAGTTTTTGCCAAAAACTTTCAACATATGTACTTGTATGAATATAAATTTATTTTTTTAGACAAAACATTATAATACTTTTGTCGACCACTTGCTTAAGTAATATTTTTTCAGCAAAAAATTTGAGCACGTATACTAATATAATCTTTAAGCATATTCAACTAATTTAAAAAAACATTCTTAGACAATGTGTCATGATAACAAAAAGTGATGTTTTATTTTTCCGGTTTTGAGATCATCATGTTAAATATTGAGAAATTGTATTTTTAGTACGGCGAGAAAGTTTTGAGTAAATATACTTTTGTTATAACGCCACAGACGTATATAAAATTCATTTTGGCTAATGAACAAAAACTCAAAACGAGCGTACAACTATTTTCGCTGGTAGTATATTATTACCCATTATTTGCTAAAAATTATTTCCTAAAAATGTAAACAAGAAGTAAATAAATAGAAACTAAACATTTTTTACTTAAATCGGCTAATTAAAATTAGTTCACGTAGGTAATTATTTTTAAAATAAGTTACTCATTGCCAAATTGCACAAATTGTACTAACAAAATTATAAGATTATTATAGGAAGTAGATGTTTTAATATTACCGAAGTATGAAAGTCTAACATAATCGATTGAACGAATTTATAATTTACCGTTTGAATTTTTTAAGGAGAGTAATTTAATATAGCTGATACTTCGTACTAAGTAAAAAATAAAAGGATTATTGAGAAATTGCTTTCAAAATTTGATCGATTAAATCGAACTTATAAAAGTCACATCAAGTCTAATAGCCAATTATGTAGAGATTGTTCCTATCAAGAATGAGTCGCGCACAAGAAGTCATACAAAAGTGTCAGTTGTCGTAGTTGTCTCAGATTATCTTTGGTTTATGTGCATTTGTAATATAAGTTATTAACGGTTTTTACAATTAAACACAAATTCAATTGTTTTACTGTTTTGTTAATAATTTACATTTTCTGACAACTATTTAAAAATGTGCGACTAGTGGGACTTTCGAGATCAAAGATTTATACATTTGGACATCTTCTAATACGTTCAAGCAGACCCTCTCCCAGCACAGTGATGACCGACATCCAAATAGATTTGAGTCGTATTATTTAAAAGTAAGTACACATATTAGTATATTTTTCTAAAAGGCATACACGTCACGCGTCGTATAATATTATCCATGTTCATAGCATTAGATATACGTGTCGGTGCTATTGGATCCGAGATAATCAGGGTAGTGTTCGATTAAAGGGTTGTGCGTTTCTCGGCCACGGTCGTGATCATCCACGTTACACAATACAACGGAAAATGTACAGAGGGAACAAAAAATTACCGTAATCGTATGCACACGGACGTCAAAGTCCGACTCTCGTGAACTTATATGTACGGTCAAACAGGTGCTCTCGGTTCCGCTATGGCCAAGTGTCTCTCTCTCTATATATATGCACCCTTAAAAATCACTGCTGCAGTTCGGGGGTTGTTGCTGTTGCAGGTGGTATTATAGCGGTGGAGACGACACCGAACGCGTTTTGTCATAACGATGACACGGTCATTGTCTTTCGCCCTGGCAACGTTAATCGCATTAGCCTCACTTTGTACAAGGACAGCTGCACTGGCTGATCAGGGTAGGCGACAAAAGAAGCGAATATCGAGTGGGACGCGATGACGGCGTGTCCGATTTTTCGTTTTACACGCGGTTTTTCAAAATTATCGCGTTTACATAATAACATACAAATAAATATGGTTTTGCACACTTTTTTTGCGCAACATCCCCCGGTAATGTTATTATTTGTGTCGGGGGGCATCGCGATTATATTATGTATCGACTCAGCTTGTCGATCGTTGATATCAACTTTGACCGAAGTCAAAGCGGATCACTAAAAAAAAACATAATGTTATATTTACATTTAAGCCAAATATCGATTAAAATTTAGGTCTACCGGCGCGATTTGGACAACATTTTATTTACATAATTATTCCAACATACTATCTTCAAAATGTTTTATTTACTCGAATAACATAAAATATATGGGTACATAATACACAATATTATACATATTTGATTTTTTTTTAAACTTATTTCTTATTCGAACATTGCTTTTACTTTTTAAAATAATTCAATACATTTTTAGTATGATTTAAAAATTAGTCGAAAAAATGTTTTTAAATAATATGTAATTATTATTTAGATAAAATTGTGTTCGAATAATGCCCCATGGTATAATATATTAATTTATAATATACGACGAATTTGTTCATGACGTAACCTATAAATTATTCCATGGTATTTCCTACAAAATCCTACAACATTTTTGGCCTAAACACGGTTAGTAAGATTGACTTTTGTGAGTAATTGACCGAAAATAATACAAAAATTCAAGCGTGGAAAATTATAAAGAAGAAAATTATCCATCTATTTACTTGGCCGATTTTCAATAATATTTTTACTTTTTTAACTTTTGACTCACGACAGACGTGATGGCACTGGTTCTAAAACAGTATTGCTGCGTTACATTGGACATGGCGTTGATATCTATACGATGAGCAACGAAAGACACAGCAGTTCTTAGAATTTGTGTGAAAGCTGTCTTGCGGCGTCTGGTCAAATTTTATTCAAATAAAAATTAATGTTTCTTAGTTTGATCATTATCGGATATTATTCATGTAGTCATTAGTTAGCCGGCGTTTCGAACCCATGCAGATTCAATCTTCAGAGGAATAGTCACCGACCCACTGTCGCAACTATCACATACCGCTATGTACCACATATCAACTATCCAGACATTTATTAGTGACAAAGTACAAATAACATGATAGATAGATCTGAAAATTATCAAACTTATAGTTTTCAATGCATAAAAGTTTTAAGACATTCGAATAATTATTATTCGCTAATATCGAATTATCAGAAATTTATGTTCATTTGATGCAAAAAATGTTTCTATATTTAAAACTACACATTTGTATTTAATGTTTCAATTAATGATAATATATTTGAAGGGCTTCCGGGAAAAAACATCTATGTTAATTTTTTTTGAAAATGAGATATTAGTGCCATCGTTTAGCTTGTTCCCAGAGGAATCGGTTTTGGATAGAAAGATCATTGCCTGCCCAAATATAAAAGGAGAAGAAAACGTGTGACGGTAAAGACTCATCAAGGTCCACGCGGTGGCGGGAAAAAACGGTCAACCTCAACACTTCCGGGCTCGAGATGGAAGCGAACCGCGAATGATGCACACCAAGTTGGTTTACTATGGTCCCTACAAGTCGTCTGTTATCATACTTACTTTAAAGCAGGTAAAAAATAAGAAAAAAATAAAGATACTACTCTCCGCCTTTCTTACCAAGGCCCCCTTTCACTAAAAAAAGCAAAGCTTGATGACCTATTACACCTGAAACAATTGTTGACAAAGCCTGAAGCTCAAGCATTCTACGATACACTTGCGTGTGATGACACAAACAGCACTGAAGAAGAGGTGGAGTACCTCGATGACCCTCCGATTGACGCTTTGGAAGAAGTGTGATGGGAAATACTAATTCTGACTTTTCAGAGATTTTATTTTATTTTTCACTTTTTGTATGAGTAAAATTTATTTTTTTTTCTTTCACTCAAATATATGTAGTTTACCGACAACATATATGTTTTTCTCTCGCTCAAACCCTTGCTGCAATGTCATTTTGTAAGTCGTTAAACTTTTAAAACGGAATTACCAACAATTTAATAAAACTGACATTGATGTTTTTTCCCCGCAGCCCTTCATTTAATTCAACATGCGACTCGATACGTTTATTTAGCGTAACACAAATACACCACATAACGCAGTGTCTGTAGCGGAAACTGTGAGAATATTTCCGGCGATCCGCGGTCGATTGTCGTTTGGCCGACCGTTAGGTATCCCCGCAGTGTCCGAAACCCACCCATTGTGTAACGTTATAATGTAGTGCTAGTAAACTAGTGGTGCCCCGTATTATCGTTTTCAGGCGAAAACACAAACACCGGCGGCTAATTTCGTCGGTCTTGTTTACCGTGGGCTTTAAACAACGCGCCCATTGTACGTCGTGCATAACGCGCCGTATATTACTATATGATGATGATAACAATAATAACGATACGTACCATGTATAAAGTACGGGTGGGCGAATTTAAGCGCAGGGCGTGGGGGAGGAACAACAACGTCCACGTGTAACAAAAGATTACAAAACGTTTGGGGCACGTGCGCTTCGGGGGGTACAAAAGGCGACGGTGTTTACAAGCCGCCAATCGTACCGGCGACGGAGAACCGAATTTCACACGATTCGCCATTTGAACAAACATTAACGCCGCGCAGAACGATTGAAATATAAACGCCACAATTGTAGCTGTAATGATAGAATAGTACCTGGGTACAAAGTCAGTCACTGAACGTCTGTGCACCGGGAACACGCTAGAGGTCATTGATCAGTGGTGGATTTGAGGGGGGGCGATGGGGCGATCGCCCCTCCCCCTTGCCCGAGTTATGGCCCAAGAAAAAAGTGGTTGTAATAAATTTCGACCATGTCAATTAATTTACCT